ATGCAGCAGAGAGAGAAGTTAGAGAAATTTCAAGCATGAGACAGGTTCAGTGTGCCGTGTCTGACTCAAAAGTAGGGGTCCACATATAAAGACTGGAGACAGGCCTGGAGAAAATATAGCAGCTCCAACTGATAGCCAGAAAGGAAACGTACTCCTTACTCTTCTTACAACCACAAAGAACTGGGTTCCTCATAGAATGACCTGAATAAGCCTGAAATGGGATTCTTCACAGTGTGTCCCAATAAGAGTCCATGCTTTGACAGCTCAATTTGAGCCTGGGTAACCCTGAACAAAGAAAACAGGAGAACTAACCCATAGACTCACCTACAGAAGGGTGATATAATAAATGTGTTAAGTGTCTTACTGTATGGCATTTGTTATGTCAGCATAGAAATCTACTATATGCTCCTAGTACACAAGGATTTGCAGGAATCCAGTTTCTGGACATAGTTGCTATACAGTCATTTCCTAGGTCCTTTCTTATCCACCACTTCAGAGGGAGGCTTTGATATTTTTACCATTCAGTTAAGCTCATTCGACAGTGTATGGATTCAGGGCTAGTCTCAAATAAGTCACCAGAATACATTCTCCTTTCTTTCTAACTTCGTATACTTTCTAAACCTCTTCTCTAACTTTGGAGTTATCTTTCAAGGTTAGAGTCTGTTCTAAGTCTGACTTGACTCACAGGCAGACTTGGAAAAAATTTTGAGTATGGTGGAATTACCCAGAGCAGATGAGCAGATCCATAATGTTCACTGCCAAAGTAAACAATTACATGGAAGGGGCTGTTGTTATCAGAGCAGTTCCACAGTGAGCAATGTGACAGAGGACATCTGCAGGGAGTTGGAATGCTCTAAGTCAGGAGAAAGGAAGGAAGGTTATTTTGGGCTTTCTTTCCCATAGGGAGCAGGGTGCAGCCTTCATGCAAGGAAGCAGGGAGAGCTGGATAACAGGTCAGGATCCAGATTTGGGCATAAGGATTTATAGGGGCTGACTCAAGGAAAGAGCAGTGTAATTTGGGAAGTGCTGGGTCTGGTCCCATGTGACAGCACCGGGGCAAAATCAGCTCCCAAAGAACCCTGGAGCTAGGGGTGGATAGACCCTATGAAATGAGGCCCACAGGCATTCCCCAAATGGTGTTCAATGCTCATTTTCTCCGTTATTTATTACATCTGGATTTAGTACATTGGCCCCAGGTTCCTTCTTTTCATTGCCCAGAGACATGGTGTAGTAGTGAGAAGAGAAATGAATTAAGAGACAGAACATCTGCTTTATGCAGGAAGGAGTGGAACAGTGTGGGTTCTAAACAAATTCAGACTATGGTTCTAATTTTGACACTTATGAGCCATGTGAAGTCAGGAAAATTGCAAAGGTCTATGAGACTTGAGCTTTTTGTGAAGTGAGCTGGATAAGCCTTGCCTTGTAGGATTTCTGGGTTGTATGTAATATATGAAAACTCCTGGCGCAGTGCCTAGAATTTATTGCATATTTAATAACTAGCATTTGTTACTATTATTAGTTTGACCCAGACCCTATCAAAATCTCTGTGATTGTTTTTAAAGCAAGAGATGTCTGAAAATATGCAGCACTCTATGATACAGCATGCAAATTAACCAAAAATGCCACTTAAAAAGTAAAAATCAGTTACTTCAGAAATTTGAAGATTTCTTATTTATTGTGGATGTGGGGTAGTCTTCCCCAGTTGGATTCAATTTAAGACTCCTATAATTCATGTCAAACACTAATTCCTTCCATTCCTTCAAATACCCTTCCATCCAAATCACCCCTATTTATTTCACTTGCATCAAAAATCTAGCCCTCACGTGAGTTTGCCAAATGACACTAAAGATAACCTAATAAAAATGCCCTTTTAGGAAGAACACACACTGGGGCCTGCTGGGGTTGTTGGAGGGGCTGGGGGAGGGAACCTAGACAACGGGTCAATAGGTGCAGCAAACCACCATGGTACATGTATACCTAGTAACAAACCTGCATGTTCTGCACATGTATCCAGAAACTTAAAACAAAACAAAACAAAAAACCCAACTCCTTTTAATTTAGTGGGCTTAGTGGGCCCTGTTTCTCCCAGGCCAGAGCAAATAATGCCAGGACAATGGCTTTTGAACACATTCATTTCAGGTACTATCACCCTTGTTTCTCAGAAGGTCCCTGGAGCTGATGTGGATAAAACATAGTTTGTGCACTGCGCCCAACTGTACTGGAAAAACGACACTGGAAAAGGTTGAAAGACACCTTCCATTCCTGTCTTAGAATAATTTCTGGTTTATCAATTACTTCAGAATAACTGCCAAAAGCAGTTATTCATTCCAGGCATTAGTCTTTTAACACTGGACGTACCTTTTGAGGATCTGGCCCCTGCTCACTACTCCCACAGCCTCAACCAACCCACCACCCAGACTAACAAAATTGGCTGACACGGAAGGGTTTGCAGTTTCCCAAGGCCCCAAACCCACTTGCCTCAGGGCATTTTCACTTGACTGCTCTGATCTGGATCTTCCCACCTTCTTCCACTTGTCCTTTACTTCTTAGGGTATATCTCACCATCTTCCTTACATGACGGCTGCTCTTAACTCTAAAATTCAATGTGCGCGCTAGGGTCTTGTTTATCCTGACATTCCCAGTACCAGCACAGAGCCTTCCCTCCAGAGAACAGATGCCCAAATAATGTCTGGGAAATAAGTGAGCCAGTGTGCAAGAAGTCAGTTTTATTATGATGTGCCTTCTACATTGCTGAATAAACTAATCATATCTATTTTTTAATTTTACAGAACAGACTAAAAAATATCTATTTTTTGATTTTACAGAACAGACTAAGCATAAAGGATAGCAAGAATGTATCATCTTTTATATTTTCCACTCTATTTCTTCATTCCAACTATTTTACTGCTTTTTTAAAAAATACTTCCAAGGAAATGACTAATCTACTACTATGTTATCTTGTTGGAGATCACTAAAGAAGATGGAAATTTTCCTATTTTTTTCTATAAAGTAGTAAAACTTTATTCTAAAACTTCATGAATATCAATAAATCACTAATAATCTTGGATTCTTAAGCTACTTTAACCTTCTATTAAAAGGAGCAACATTTAAACAAATATCTAAGTTACTGAGAACACACATTATATAGTGTATTATAACGAGACACAGCCAGCTCTCCACTAGTGAAACACTGACTGTTCTCTTCAAAAACACAGTAAAGCATCTTCTTCAGCCTTCACTTGGGGCAGGCAGGGTTGCTGGACGTGGCCTTGGAACGCGCACTGGCCCTGGCGGCAGTACGGGCCCTGGCTGCAATTCTGGCTTGGGATCTCTCTTCCTCATCTTTCAAAGCCTCTTCATAATGGGCTGGGAAGGCACTGGGCACGGTATCATGGATCTTGGCCAAAAATTTTAGGACTTTCATCTTGCTGGTTTCAGCATAGGCTCGTGGACCCCACAGGAATTCATAGCTTGGAGGATCGCTGTTGGGCACTTCCCGGTACTCCAGGTACTGCTCTTCCACTAAATATTTGGTGAGGAGATTCCTGGGCTCTCCATAGATGAAGTGCTTCTCCCCGTCATATACCCCCATCATATTTAGCACCTTCCAGATTTCCTCCTCAGGGGCAGAATTCCCCTGGCTGAAGATCACAGCCAGGACGGTCATCAGCAGGCCGGTCTTGGGCAAACTTCTGTTAAGACTCACTCTTGCATCATGGCCTAATTCTAATTTGTTGACAAGGACATAGAGGCTCTTGTTAGGATCCACTTCTTTCACATCAAGGCCAAAGACCAACTCCAGATGATCAGAAGCTCTCCTCAGGATTTCAGGGAAGTGGCTCTTCTGCATCTGGACTGCATTTTTCAGCATATCTGCCTTTGTAACAGGCTCTTTGATTTGATACTTGTATAGCAGGTAATGCACCAACATAGCAACCTTCTTATCTAGAGGGCCTCCGGGCCACTGCTCAGTGGTATCCTCGGCCTCTGAGGCATTTGACCTTTCCTCAGCCTGGCTGCCATCGCCTTCATTAGATGCTGTGCATGAAGCAGCTGCAGCAGCGGTGGTGGCTAGAGCTCCCTCAGGCTCTTGCTCATTGCTGGGTGTTTCAACAGCAGATGACCTCTCAGGACTATCTTTGAAATGAGGAGATGAAGCGAGGGACCCTTCTTCCTCTGCTACAGTGACTTGAGTACCTTCCACTTCGTTGGGGTCCTCTTGAGCCTGGCGGCGTTTCTCACGGGCACGGAGCTTACTTTTCTGACCCCGAGGCATGATGACTCTGCTTACAGACAAGGAGTAGTGTGAGACAGATGCAGGTGATGAATGACCTGGAGGAAAAAGGGTGAGATAGTGTGATCCTCCAGCAGGGAGATACCATCTTGACTTTATGGAAACTGTCTCTGCAGGTTTCCTTGAGAGTGCTGTTCAAGGAACCCATGAGGCTCCTCTTCTCTGATGGGCCTTTCCCCTGAGGAATCAGTGGAAGTAACTAGACTGTACCTTTGGCTAGAGCCTGCCAGTCTTACCTGCATCTTACTGGGACTGATACAGTGACTGGCAGGTCCAGACTCTATGGAGTTTCCTTTATTCCAGGGTAGAGGATGTTTCTGGCAGGACCTGTTATTTCACTGCTTAACTGTTTTGATGCTGACTCCCTCTTCCAAAGCACTCATATCCCTGACTCCCCAGACAAGGGTGTGAAGGGGAATCTCATGTGACCACATTTTCAGGGGGACATTGTGGAATGGCAGCAATGCAGGGGTTGGGAAGACCCACTCTATCTTGAGGTAATTAGTTTTCAGTCCTCACTAAGTCTTTACTTTTGCCTCTTGGAGGGTCTAATTGCCCTCCTTTTGCTTACCTAAAACCTATCTCCTCCAAGCAAGACCTTCACATCCCTGAGACTCCTGATGAAGATATTAGGGAGCCCTCAGATTTATCTTCCCCAGGTACCCCTATCAGGAGTGACAGCACTCTTAGGGCTCTATGAATCCTCTGTTCTCCTGGAAATTCAGGTTCCTCTTAATGACTCCTCACCTTGACAGCCTCATACCTTCCCCTCTGGGGACTTGAGGCCTATACCAATCAGAGAAAGGCCCACTTCCACCTGATATCCCAGAGTATGCAGTTGGAGGGAGGGGATGGGGTGCACTCAGAATGACAAATCTGCCCAGGACTTCCCAAAGCTGACCACAGAGGCAGTGTCTACCCCCATCAGTCCTCACTTTGACTTCCATAAGGGCCTGAGTCACCTCCCTCTAATGACCTGCCACTGACTGCCCTGTCAAATCTATGCCCTCATCTCCCTGTGACCACTAAGGATAAAATGAGGGATACCTTAGCCCCAGAGTCCTGTTGAAAGGTTACCAAGGCTCATAGTAGTGGTGTTCTGTTGGGTCCCCTCAGTCTTTGCTCAGGGTTCTGAACTAAACTCCTGGTTACTCCCGAAGACTTTTCCTGCTGCTGACCTGAATCGGCTAGCCTTAGACCAAAACTCTTTGTACTCTTCCCTATGACCACTACCAGAATGTGAAGCGAGGGGTCACTGGGCCTTAAAGCCACATCAGGGACCTCCCAGAGTTTACAGGAAGGGCAGGATTTTGTAAGGTCGCTACCTTTCTGGGAAGCCAGTTTCCCCCACAGCCTACACGGGGTCATTTTATTAACACGTGGCAGAGCATAGGACTCCTTCCCCTGCTGGCCCAAGGCAGATACCCTGGTCAGACACCCTCACCTCCTTGAGAGGTTAAAAGTGGAAGTTCCAGCTACCCCTGCTTGGGATCTACCAGGCCTGAGAGCAGAGGCCAGTCTCTGTGGGAACCCATCTGCTATGGCATAAAGGGAGTTTCACAGAACTCACAGAGGACCCTTTATTGACTCCTGGAGGGTTCTAAGACCCCAATCTCGGCTGGCTTGATGCCAACAATTTAGTCCAATGCTATCACTTCCCTAACTCTCCAGAAGAATAATGCAGAGTGCGATACCCAAAAAGATCCCTGCTCGGGCCTTTTGCCGCTTATGGCCAAGGCCAGACAGCATGGCATTCTTTCTTTTGCAGTAGGGGGGTCCCTTCAAACGTTATTCAATGTCTTTGCCTTATCTCCTGGCAGGGCCTGGGTGCCTTCCTCTGCTGACCAAATACCAACCGCCTTGCCACAAGGCCTCACCTCCCGTGCACTGCAGAAGCAGAAGTGCGTGCCACAACTGAGCATCCTGCCCACGGTCCCACAGGGCTGCCAGCAAGGGCAGCATAGTATGACTTTCTGTGGCGCCCCCTTTGCAATGGAGTAGTAGTAATATTAAGTCCTCTCCTCGGAAGTAGATCTATATTTTGGCTCCTAGTTCATTGATTAAAGGCTCCTTAGGGAAATAATCACCAAACAGTAAACTCTAGATAGTTTCTCAACATAAACCCTTACAGATAATGGGTTTCTGTTCCAGGCTTGATAGGGGAAGAGAGGCTTCAGCACAAAGGCAGGGTGCCCAAGACAGATTCTGAGACGTCGGAATAAGTGCATTATGACCATGGGGTCTCTTCACTGGCCAAATATAGACTTTGGGAACTTTCTGTTCTAAAAGATCTACTTTCTATAGAGAAGTCACAGATAATACATAATTTTGTGAGCCCCAGATCTCTTGACTTTATCTAACATTGCATTGTACTGTGCAGTGAAATTCATTATAATTATAATTTCATTTGTTGAACCAAATGTATTATTATATGCATGTTCTAAAATACTACTGCTTTGTGCGACAAGGCTTTTGATTTTGCTACAGTGATTTATACATCACCTTTCAGAAATCATTTATTCATTTGGATAGGTGATGGTCTTTTCCTTTGGATTTTCTGAAATGATGATCACATTTTCACCAAATAATTTCTGTATCTATTAAATATTTCTAACTTGCATTTGTTTTTATAGTCTTATCCTCTGGCCATGTATTCAGCATACATTTATGTCTGGTTCCTTGCCTTAATGAGAATGCATCCAACATTTAGCATTGCATATTTAAGTTTGTTTGCCATAGATTTTAGGAAACGAAAATTCTCTTCTGATGTTAGTTTGTGGAATGTTATCAGGCATTTGTGTTGAATTTTTTTTTCAAAAGCTTTTTCTGTGCCTCAGTACACGATAAAATGCCCATTTAGAAAAATCTAATAGCCAGGCACAACTACTCGGGAGGCTGACACATAAGGATTGCTGGAGCCCAAGAGATTGACACCAGCCTGGGCAACATAGTGGGAGTCAGTCGCTATAAAAAAATAAAAACAAACAGCAAAAAATTAGACGGGCACAGTGGCACGCGCCTGTAGTCCCAGCCACTCTGGAGGCTGAGGCCCAAGGATCCCTTGAGTCCAAGGAGGTTAAGGTTGCAATGAGCCCTGATCGTGCCACTGCACTCCAGTCTGGGTGACAGCAAGACCCATCTCTAAAATAAATTTAAAAATTAAAATTAAAATTAAAAAATCTAATCTTTTAGTATGAGAATATTTTAAGGAGCTTTTTTCTAATATTACATTATCTTTACATTTCATGGATGCAGACTTTTTTCCCATTGAATTCACTGCCATATTGGACCTGCTATGTTTATTTAGGATCTTTGCCTCTGTGTGGATGAACTTGGCTAAATTGTTCCCTCCTCCATGATATCCTCAGCTATTTATTTATTATTTATTTTTATCAAAGAAAGCTAGCCTGGGAAAATGAGTTGAACATCATAAGATAGTGGGATTTTTTGTGTTTACATAAGATGGTCAGTTTTACACTGATTATTTGGTAGAATGGGTCCCAAAATGCCTGGTCCCAAAACATTTGAGGGTGGCTAGAGCTTTGATCAGTTTCACTTTGTGTTTCTCAATTACAGATTTTTATTTCTATTTGGATTAATTGGGCCATTCATATTTTCCTAAATAATGGTCTGTTTTCATTTGGGGTTTCAAATTTAATGGTTATACATATTCTTTTTATTGTAGAAATTCTCAAATATATTCAACCAGTAGAGAGAATATACCTGGAACTCAGAATCACCAACACATGGCCCTGGTTTCATCTATACTCACACATAACAGCATGCTTGCCACTGGAATAATGTGAAACAATCCTAGACATCACATCATTTCATCTTTAAATATTTCAGCGTGTGTTTTTAAAGACCGAAGCATCAACCAATAAATAACACTATCCCACCTTAAAAAAATTAGCTCCTTAATGTAATTAAATGTCCAGTTATTCTCACATTTACCCACTGACATCATCTAAGTGTGTTTTTTCTTGAACCTGGGTCCAAATAAATCTATTTATTATCATTGGATTTTATGACCATTAATTTATACATTCTTCCCCCCAACACACATACATTACTTCTTTATCCCTGAAATCTTTGTTTTTACAAAAAAATAGATCTTATGTTCTGTTCAGTTTCACATGGTCTGGCTTTTGCTTTTTGCAACATTTATGTCTTTCTCCTTTGTATTTCTTTAAATTGGTAGAGGTTTTATCATATTAAAATTTAATTTTTATTCTCTCTCTTGTTTTATTTGGAAAGATCACTTTCTGTGAGATCACTTTCTTGTTTTATTTGGAAAGATCACAGGTGACGTGAACTTTCATTATGAAGAAGTAACTTCCAATTTGAGGGAGACCTAATATTTGTCTCCCTTTGGTTGCTGTTGGCAGTCTTTGAAGAATAGTATATTTATCAATTAATTAATTAGGGTTTGCACAATGTTAATTTTTCCAATTCTACCATTTCTTCTGATTTCATTAGATGAAATATATTTTTTATGTATAAATCATTCCTTTTCTATCATTTGGTAATGGTATTTACAGTGTTCTCTTATAGTATTCAAGTTCTTTCTGCACCTATATTTTGTACAGTATTTTAAAACTACTATCACTTAGTTTTCTTTTGTAATTGATGATGCTTGTAAAATTGTCTCATATAAATCTTTTAAAAGAATGGGCTTTTTTTAGTTGGCTCCACTGTCTTAATTCATCATTTCTGCATTGATCTTTGTTATTTCCTAAGCTTTATTTCTTTGGGTTAAATATGGTTCTATTTCTCTAGTTTCTTGAAGTTTTGCATGTTTAAAATATTTGTTTTTTTCTAATCAACTTATTTAAGGCTGTAAATATCCCTTTTGTACCACCTGATTTGTTTCCCACAGGTAATGCTATAGAGTTTTATGTGCAGTGCTTGACCATTTTATAAGCTGAATATGTCTCTGTATTCCTTATGCTCTTAGAATTTTTGAATATGTGTGTACAAAT